ATGGAAATGTACGTATCGGGCTTCACTGGGACACAGGAGGCGGCTCCACCATGAACCGCATGACTTTCTCCTCCTTGTTGATTTTGGCAAATTTCAATAGAGTTGCCCACCGCTTTTGAGTGACATACGGCACAGTAGAGCTTCCTATGCATCCAGAAGTTAGTGAATATCGGCAAACACACAAAGCCTCCAGCACGTGCTTGGCCTAGAAAATTGAGACAGCAGGTGTCATGGCTTGGATATGGAGGAGCCCTTCCAAAGGCTCACATGGGCGAGGCACGATCTTCAATGCAATGTTCAGAGGCAGGACTTCTGGTAAGCGATTAGCTCGTGAGGGTTCTGACCTAACCAACGGCTTAATCCATTGATAGCACATAATCAGACTGCACGATGGAGAGGTAATGGGAACTAGGAAATGAAACCTAGGCCAGGGAAGTAGGTCACTGGGGAGTGCTTGAAAGACGTGTCTTGCCTCCAGCCCCTTCGCTGCCTGTCTGCTTCCCGGCCACCAGGAAGTGAGCAGCTCTGCTCCACCACACTCTTCCACCCCTATGTTTTGCTTTGTCACAAGTTCACCATGATGGGTCCTACCCACCGTGGACCAAACCCTCTAAAACCATGAGCCAAGATAAATCTTGCCTCCTTTAAGTTACTTTTTCTTAGGTAATCTGTCATAGCAACACAAAGATGATTGACACAGAAGGCTCTCTGGAGATAACAACATGAATGTTTTTTTTTTCTTAGCCACAGTCCCTGTTCTATCCCATCTAGTTATGCAACCTGCATAGCTTTGCTTGTCATGATGACTAATGCCCAGTTTGGTACACTGGCAGACACACACCCTCCTAGCTGTCATTCATGATAGCTTCTTTTTTCTTTACTAAACTAGCTGGTTTCTTAATACTTGTTTTTACTCCTGCATCCAAAGGGCCATTCCCATTCTGGGCTTGGTCCTCCTCTCCCTTGTTGATCCCTTAGAGGCATTTGGGTCTTTTTGTTGGTGGTCATGGGTCTTTCCATACAAGAGCCTTCACTCAGTTGTTGGTGTGTGTGTGTGTGTGTGTGTGTGTGTGTGTGTGTGTGTGCATGCATTAGTGTGTGCTCATGCTAATTTACTCACCTGTCCACGTGCATGTGGAGGTCAGGGATCACTTTTGGATGTTGTCTTCAATTGCTCTCCACCTTATGAGACAGAGCCATTTCAGACAGATTGGCTAGCCAATCAGCTCCTGGTATCTCCTTGTCACCACCGTACCCAGTTCCAGGCTTGTACGTGTGCTCCACCACAAGGGGCCTTGTTTGTGGATGCTGAGGGTCTGAACGCTGTTGCTTATGCTTGCTCAGCAGCACTTTACCCAGGGAGCCACCCTCTCAGGCCCTCATTCATCTTTCTGCGCCGAAGCCCGTTGCCAGGGGGAGACATGTGCAAGTGATCCTGCTGATATAAATTGTTGGCTCCAGCGTTGCCTCCATGCTGACATCTGTGAGCCAGAAAGTTACAGGACTCTGGGCTGAGCAAAGAAGAAAGGCTGGTTTGCCAAAGATGACGCGAAGGTCTGGATCGGCCCATGTTGTGAGGAGAGCCAAGAACTGCTGTGTGTGGACCTCGTGCGGTAAGCCTACCATCTCTCTCCTTGTTCCTCTCATTTCCCTCATGCAGTTCACCTGAGAGAGCAGCAGGGTGGTGGCCAATGACACTGAGCCGATGTCCCACGGACAAGGTCCCACACAGTGTTTCATGGATACCATGATTTGTGCCTGGGTCCACATTTTTGCCAGGATTCACTGATGCTACCAACTGTGACTTGATGTGAAACATGGCACCACATTTCCGGTTGGATCTCTGCCTCTCTCAGACAACTTCCTACAGCCCTCAAACTGATTGTATTCTATAAACCAGGAACTGAAGATGACCAGAACACAGGACTGGAAATGAGGGGTGGGTTTTATAGGAGTCCTCGTCAGCAGAAAGGAAGCTGGGGTGGAAACCTATGAAGAAAATGTTATTTAAGTCTCAAAGATCCAAATGAATGATGAGATGTTCTCTGAGCTAAGTCACATGTTCAGTGTCTATTTTTTAAATGAGCCTTTCAGACAAATCTTAAATGTTCCATTTTAGACTCAAATATGAGTTAAAATATAATTGCCCCTTTCCTTCACATTTGTTAATAGGCCAGATTACTACTACTGTTACTATTATTATTACAGAGGCATATACTATACCACTGACCTTCACCCCAGGCCAAACAGATCCAGCTGGCAGGGATTAGCATACAGCAAGTGTCCACCCCCTTTTCTTCTCCTGGAGCTTGTACAAGCAAATGCTTCACCCTGGGAAGAACCGGATGCTGGATGCTGAGAATTGTACCTATTCTAAATTCAGAGCAGCTGCTCCAGGGAAGAGTCACTTAAAAGCCCATTTACAAGTTCAGATATTTCCCTAGATTCAAAGCTGGCTTCCTTTTCAGGTAGGCAGTCCTGAAGGTAGGGAGAAAAGGGTTACCTAGGCTCACCATGACCTACAGTGTCAAGGTCAGGTGATTTCCAATAGTTCCACCCTCCTGCTCACTCCTCACTCCCGTGGACATCTATGTGGGTTGTAAAAGCTAGACACAGAGAGACACATGAGCTGGGCAGAAGCCAGGCTCTCTATGGCTGCATGTGGGAGCCGGGGACAGGCTCGGCCATGGGTGGCTGATCTGGAATCTGGCTCTGCTGTCCTCCTCACTTTGCTCTCTAGGACTGCCACTGGGAGCGCAGCCTGAACCCTCTCCTTCACATTCATTACTACTTCAGAGGTTTCCACAGGGAGACAGGGCAGAGTCTTGCTCCGATTGGCTGCCTTTCTCTGACTTAATGGCCAGCGCCAGCAAATCAATAGTCTGGACTCCAAGAGCATAAAGATGAATTGAGACTGGCAGGGCTCTTGAGGGTATGGCTGAGGGGAGAAAGAAAGAAACACAGTGTAAGCACTGCCAAGATAAAATCACGCACACAGCTTCTACGCAAACCCCCCCCCAGCCCCCCACCCCCACCCAGCCCAGAGAAGCCGGTGTCTTCTACCAGAAGCCCTACAGGCAGGCACCAGAGCACCCTCAACTCCTCGGCGGCGTTTGGCCAAGTTCAAACCATTTGCAAAGTAGGTCAGCAGAAGTCACATCAAGCAGAGGAGGGAGGAGGGTGTCAGTAAGGACCCACAGAGCTGGAGGAGGCCCAGCCCCTGCCGTGGAGGGAAGGAGATAAAGAAAGGGACAGCTGATGCCAGGAGACCCTTAAGTGACAGGTTGTAGCAGAGGCAGTCTTGAGGCATTCAGAGCTGGTCAGGAGATAAACTGCTCTGCACAAGCCTCCAGCAGGACTCGGATGATAACCTTGAATGAAAATGCACTCTAAGGAAGCTGACGTCATCTTTATTCAGCTTTTTGCTCTGTGTGTTCAGAAAGCCCATTTCATTAATGAGAGTTTTCTAGTGAGGCATGCTGGTTCTCTGCCCTCACCCAAAGAATGCAATTAAAAATACCTAGGTGCATACAAAATTGGCCTAAATAATAGAAGGAAGAAGAAGATGCATATAAAACAAATTACACACCTCCTACCTGCTCTTCAAACATAGAACTCACACTATTATTATTCATGCAGATGTCAGTCAAAAAGGAAAACTCCACTTTATTGATGAAGGAGATACAAAAACACAGTGAAATAAATACTTGCAAAGGACACGTCTTTAACTATAACCTACTTATAAGTGTCACACATAATTTTGCATTTGCTATACTGTTCCCGCCCCCCCCCCCCCCCCCCTCTTACAGCCCCTTTCTCTTCTGGTACAACCTAGTCACCTTCCAAGAGTGCTCTTCGTTTTTTTCTCTGTAGGAAACTACATCTGACTTCCTATCCTCAGCCATCATTTCTCCAGCCAGATCCCCGCAGCAGGAAGAGCAGCCAATGCCACACACCCACACCCACACCCAGGAGTAGTTTCCTTCTGAAGTGGTTACCTAGGTGGTGCTGTACAATAGCTCCTGGAAAGCACAGGCTCAGACTCATGCCTCATCCTTCAACCATCCATCACACATAGTTAGCCCAACATTCTGCTTTAAGGACAGTAGGAGAAACAAAAGAGAGAAAAAAGGAAGAAAACAAACCTTTACTGAATACCTACGAGGTATGATGTGAACTACCGCACCGAGTTTTCTATTGATTTTTTTTCTTTTTTAATTTAAAACTCATAACGGCTCAGGGATAGAAGATTTGCTCTCCGCTGTCTTAAAGATAAGGAAACGGGGTTAGAACAGTTACATAACTCACCCCAAAGCAAGCAGCCGGTGTCTGCTTCTCCCCTACTGTTAGCTCTGCCTGGTGAGGTTTTTAAAGTGTTCAGCGCAGGGCTCGGGGGATGGCTCAGTGGGTAAACAGCTTTTACCACAAAAGCGTGAGGAGCCGAGTTTGGATCCCCAGCACTAACTTAAATGCCAGATGCGATGATATGCCGGTGATTCCAGCGCTGGGAAGGCTGAGACAGGAGGTTCCCTCAGCTCTGCTGGGCAGCCCATCTAGCTGAATTGGCAAGCTCCAGGTTCAGTTAAATCCTGTCTTTACAAAAGGTGAAAATGATGGAGGAACCACACCTGATATTGACCTTTGGCCTCATACACATGCATACCTACACATATGAGTACATATAGGAACACAACACACATGCACCTGTGCACACATACACCCCCCCCCCACACACACACACACATACACACATACTATTCAATGCCAGTCAGGTGTGATGGTGCATGCCTGGAATCCCAGCATTCAAGAGGCAGATGCAGGAGGATCAGCATGAGTTTGAGGCAGCCTGGTCTATATATCAAGTTCCAGGCCAGCCAGGGCTACATACTGAGATCTTGACTCCACACAAGACAACACAAACCGTGTCTAACACTGGGCTTTACCCTTGAAGACTTTGATTCAAGTTTCTAAGCTCAGAGGATCAAAAAAGCGTTCATCACACTAACTGCTCTGCTGTGGACCAGGCCCTGCATAGAGCAGTCGCCAGTGTCTGTGAAACAAAGTCGATGACTTCAGTCCATTTAGTGCAGTGTTTCTCAGGCCTGACTATGTGTTAGCGTCTCCTGGACAGGCAACGAAGCCATCGGGGCCATCCCTCCGCCCCTGCTCACAAAGGTTCTGATACAGTTGGTTTGGGGGTGGAGCTTCCTGACAGGCAGCCCTGCCGAGCGCAGGGGCCATCCCTGCCAGGACCATCTGTCCAGAGTGAGGTCAGTCAGCATCTGCGGTACTGAAAGCCCGCACAGGTGATGCTGCACAGCGGGGCTGAGAACAGCCGCCTACACCATGTCGCCTCTCTCTGAGCTTTATAAATGGGAAAGCATCGCTTTCTAAAAATAATCCCATCAACAAGGATGGGAATGATCAGCCGTGCACAGCAGCGCAGGCTTGGGGGTGGGGGGGCGCGGGAGGATACATTACTGAGGAAACAATAGGGTTGCCGTCGCCTCTCGTGATCTTAATCGGTTCTGTGGTGCCTTGTTCTTTGATTTGTGTCTGTCAGGGGCTGTTTGGGAAATGATTTATGAAACTAGTAGATGAGGACCTTGTTTTACAGCTTGGGGGAAGAGAACAAGCATCCTGACTACCAAGCTAAGGGGAATCTTCTGACCTCCAAGAGCTTCGGGGATAAAGGTATGCGGATGTTGGAACACCTGTGGTGGACATGTCCCATTATGGAGACAGGAGGGAGAGTGGGAAGGGGACAGGAGGAGCTGCAACTCTCTGAGAGTTTCGAGAGAGGGGCAAGAGGAAGGACCAAAATAAAAGTAAAAGAAAACCTCCTCTCGCTGCACCTCACATATGTTTAGTCTTGCTTCTAATGATCTGGAAAACAAAGACAATTACACACGATGGGCTTTTGTGTTGTTAGCTTTAAACGCTTTCAAAAGTACATTACCCTGACTGTATCAGAAAGCAGTTTAATATTAATGAGACAGGTTCTTATTATTCTGTGTAATAAGCCCAACCAAGAACCCGTGCAAGAGACATTTCCTTCAGAATCATGTTGGCGTTACATAATTATTATGAACCCATAAACAGCAGCCACTGTTATGAACCAAGAAATGGGATTGCTTTAAAGAGCAAATCATTTCAAACTTATGAAGGGGGGGGACCCCTTTTATATGCACCATGACATTTGTATGTAATTAAAAGATAGTGACATTCGATGAGTGTTCAGTTCTGTGCCTGGGAAACCTTTGACGTTCTTTTTCTGTATTCCCATTTCATTCCCCCAAACCATAACAAAGACACAAATTAGGTGCTAGCTTATGTTCTCCCTTTACATATCAAAGTGGGGCACAGAGGGACCAAGAGACTTGCCTACGGACACACAGCCAGGAAGTAGTAGGGAGTGATATTCAGGCCAGCTGGTTTCACAGCTCATCCTTTGAACCCAGACAAAGCACAAACGTTTGCTCTGTGCTGATGTTATGTTGTTCTAAGCGATTGCATCTTTTTATTTCACATGCCCTGGCAGATGGCAATCAGAAAAAAACAGATTTCTGGAGGGAAAGCAGCCATCACTTCATCCCACTTTTAACTCTGCATCCCCTCCCTCAGTTTTTGTGAGTAAATCCAACTTCTGAAACGCCTGTCTGGTGGGATCCAGAACAGCAAATATGGAAAACATTAGTTGAGTGTGTGTGTGCGCCACTCAGGCTTGAGAACTGGAAAAACCACCTTCGTCTTTAGGATTCTCTTGATGGGCAGGGGAGGTGACTACGGCGGGAACTGCTGGCTGTGCAAGCAGGAGGACCCGAGTTCGAGCCCCAGGACTCACCATAAAAACAACAACAACAAAACCCAAGCATGGTGATGTTTGCTTGTAATCTTAGGACTTGAGAGGAAGAGAAAGGTGCATCCCCGGAGCTCACTGGCCAGACACCTTAGTCTACTCAGTGAGCTCCAGGCTAATGAGAGGTCCTGTCTCAAATTCACGAGGGAGATGGTGCCTGGGGAATGATGCTTAAGTCTGCCCTCTGGCTCCCACATATACTCACATAGAAGAACACACACACACACACACACACACACACACACACACACACACACACACACACACACACACCTGAAAACAAGGCAGGCAGAAGTTGGCATTGCCATGAAAATCCTGCCCTGACTTCCTCTCATCTTGTTAGTAGCTAGTTAGATATTAGCAGGTTTGAACATGGTTGGTGACAGACCCCTCCCTCATAAACAGCAACTTGTAAAACCAAGAACTGAAAATGCAGGGCCTTGGTTAGCGGTCAGAAGAATGAGATCTGAGCCTCTGGGCCTGGGTGGCCGCAAGTTTTCCCATCCCCAAGGTCATTCATTAATCGGTAGCTATCTAAACTTGATGAGGTGACTACCTAGCTGGAGGCTTTCTGGTAAAGAATAAGGATATGCCATTTTCTCCTCCTGTGTGAGTTGTCCAAATGAGCCTGCCAGTCACTGGACAGGAACAAGATTCAGAAGTGTCATAAAGCTTACTGGAAGCAGATGCACACAATGGTCTCTAGGACCATTGTCTAATCTTCTTACCGCTCAAGAGTGTTCCACTTTCCTTTGTAAGAAACCCATGTTTACTACATGTCTTCTACCTCATACTCTGAGTGTGTCCTGTAAATTCTCTCCACAGCAATTACAAGTACAGGAGAAATGAGAGGCGTTCAGAGTGAGATCCTGGTGACAATCTGGTTCCAAATCCCCTTCCCTGAAGGTGAGAACAGACACATTTTGGTCACTCTGTAGACTGGGACCACCCCCCTCCTTCCAGTTAGGTGAGCTTTGGTCGTCCTGAGCGTCTCTTGAAGCAGACCAATGCTGTGGGATGTTAATGTATGTCCTGTGGGAGCCCTTCTTGGGTTCCTTGTGGCGTTACCCAGCAGGTTTGCATAGAGGATGATTAGGACCATGGGCCTGAGTGCAGGTGTCTGAGATGGTCTGCACTTGGCTGTACTGGGGGATGGTCTGTATGTCAAGCTGCTCTGATTGGTCAATAAATAAAACCTGATTGGTCGTGGCTAGGCAGGAAGTATAGGCGGGACTAACAGAGGAGAAATAAAAGAACAGGAAGGCAGAAGGAGACACTGCCAGCCACTGCCAGGACAAGCAGCATGTGAAGATGCTGGTAAGCCACGAGCCACGTGGCAAGGTATAGATTTGTAGAAATGCGTTACTTTAAGATATAAGAACAGTTAACAAGAAGCCTGCCACGGCCATACAGTTTGTAAGCAATATAAGTCTCTGTGTTTACTTGGTTGGGTCTGAGCGGCTGTGGGACTGGCGGGAGACAGAGATTTGTCCTGACTGTGGGCAAGGCAGGAAAACTCTAGCTACAGACCAAAGTCTCCCATGCACTGTTCCTATTGCCTCACACATGGTTCCCCCTGCCTGCCTTCGCTGCAGTTGGAAACCCGCCTGCATGTGTGTAGTGGCCTCAGCCCTAGCAGCAGTTTCTCTGGAAATCCTTTCCTGGTAGGCAGAGGCAGGGTGCTGTGGAATCCCTCAGAGCTGCTTCCATTTTCCTGCCTCTGATACGTACTTGTGCTCTTGTGGGTTCCAGAACTGTGTCTCCCGTCTGTCTGCCAAATCCCAGAGGAGGAAGGAGAGTGGGTCTTACACTATTCTATGCACCCAACACGGGCTATTCTATGACACAGCAGGATCCCAATATCTGTTTTAAGATCCATTCCAATATTTACATAGCATCTGTCCTAGGTTCCAGGGTGGGAATGACCCTGTTGTAGTGGGTCCCAGAATTCTGTACATGTTTGTTCTTCCTCCACAAATCCTCACGTTAGCCTAATTTCCATGTGTCACCTGTGTCCCACTGTGACTTAACTGATATAAGTGTGTGTGTGTCAAAACCAAAGGAAAAAGGAAAGAAAAAAAGAAGTGATTCAAACAAAGGCATAGAGAGAATGGAATATTCTTAGAATTCATTTGAATATTTTCATCTAAATTTCTAAATACCACGACGGCTAAACATTTGCTTAAAAACAAAATGCATATTTGAGGAGTCAATTGCTATCAAGGAAGTTATATATTATTAGGTGACTTAAAAGCATAACTTGGTTCTTGTGAAATGGGCTCCAAGTTAAGCTTAACCAAAGCCGAGAGCTCAGTGGTCCAAGAACATCTCAGTTCCTCCCACATCCCTGCTCCCGCGACATCTCTCTCCTCCTGCATCCCTCCTGTATCTCCGCTCCCATGACATCTTTCTCACCTTGTATCCCCCGCTCCAGCATCAGTTCCCCACTTCATCTCCTTCTCCCACCAAGAGAACAAATAAGGATCGGAAGGGTGGTATGACCATTCGCCAGAAGCATTCACCAATCTGAGATGGTGTTGATGAAGAGTGGAGGATCACGGACAGGGTCTTCTGTTTTTCGGAAGGATGTTGATCTTTACTATAGATAGAAACCCAGCCATTCATCTCCCCAACAGTTCATGTGTCTGCCACCTGAGGGGCTTTTGGGGGGTGGCTTTCAGCTTCCTCGTAAACATATTTATAGTAAGAGTTCAAGAAGGCCTCTTTCCTCTTATTCCTATACAGACTGAAGGGGGAAAAAGATAAAACAATGAAACCTGTTCTTCCTTAAAGCAACAGAAATTACTTGGTGACAATCCAGGAGGACAGGAATCTGAAATCAAAGGCTTGGCAGGCCTGCAGGCTCCCGGGAACAGCCCTCCTCGAGCTGTCTCAGAATCTGGTGGCTTCTGGCCATCATTGACATTCCTTGGCTTGCAGATGTCTAACTGCTCTCTGCTATTGTTATCACGAGGCCTCCTGCTTTCTGTGTGTGTCTACCGTCTTCAATTCTCTCTCCTTACAAGGATGCCAGACACTGGATTGGGAGCAGTATCTCATCCTCCAGGGCCTCATTTTTCCTTGATTAGTTTTGTATATCGCCTATACAGCAAACATGGTCATTTTGAGAGATGACAGGGGTTATGACTTCCTGACAACTTTTTCTATGACACTTGATATGTGTGTGTCTACACACACACACACACACACACACACACACACACACACACAGTCAGTTATTCTTCATTTTGCACTTTTTTCTATTCTGTATATAAGAATATAGACAGTTATAAGAGCCAGAGGTGGTGGATTGTTCCAAGGAAACAGTGTTTTCTAGACACAACAGGACTGATGCACATATGAACCCATAGAGACTATGACAGCCCACATAAGACCTACGCAGATTGGAGGCAGATGAGGCCTGGCACTGAGAAAGGGAAGTGGACACAAAGTCCTCCTTAACCAAGAATGTATTTCTAATTGAAACTAAAGATATTTTCAATCTAAACCTAAAATGCAAATGTTTACATGCTGGGAAAGAGAAATACCAGTTTTCTTCAATGGGGCATGAATATGCATATCAACCACACGCTGGGGCCGGCCCTATACCAAAGAGTAGCTGACTAACACGAAATGGACTTCATGTTTTTTGTGTGAGAGTTTTTTTTCTCTCTTTTAGGTGTGTGTGTGTGTTAATTGTTTTTTGTTCGTTTGTTTGTTTGTTTTGATTTTGGTTTTTGAGAGAAGGAATATGAAGTTGGGTGAGTAGGGAAGTGGTGGGGATCTGGGAGGAGTTGGGAGAGGGGAAGACAATGTGACCAAAATACATTATATGAAAAATGTAATAAATTCTAAAAAGAAGAATATAGATGGCTGGTCGAATCCACTCTCTTCATCTTGGGCAATCTAACTACAGGTCTGCCCATTTTGTTTGGCTGTTAACTTCTAATTTGGTTTTTATGTTTCAGACTGTCAGCTGGAGACTGTGAGTAAGTAGATGCAGAGTAAATACCTCCCAGCTGTGACAGGTGAGATTTTGTCCTCTCTTTTAGGGAGGAGGGTCAGGGGTAGTTCCATGCTCATAGTGTTTAAACTAGCCACGGGCTCTTTTCTTTGCCTTTTAGTTTTGGAAGTATTCATGGATGTCTCTTCAAGCTGATTGGTCCTTTCCACAGCTGAGGCTGGCTTGCTGATGAGCCCATCAAAGGCCTTCTTCACTTCTGTCATGGGGCTTTTGATTTCCATATTTCCTTTTGATTCTTTCTTAAAGTTTCCACTTCTCTGCTATATCAGAGTTATTTTTGGATGTTGGGTCTGGTCGTCTCTGTCACCTCTGAGTCTGGTCCTGTGTTGGCCTTGTGTCTTCAGACAGGGCATGTTGTATTTTGCCCTGCCTTAATTTCTTCGGAGAAAGCTGGGCTACTGAAAGGCACTGAAGCATCCAGGCCTTCGGTGTGAGGTATGTGTTTGTCCATACTTAATGAGAAGACAGAAAGACTGTGGAGCCGGAGGGTGGCTGTGAAGTGCATGGGTCATAGCAGCTCTGGATGATTGTCTTCACAAGTCCTGCACAAGGCCACACCAACAAGATCAGGCAGCATCCCAACAGGCAGCACTCATCGGACTCAATTCCACCCCCCACCCAAAGACATGAAGGTGGAAGGGGACACATTGAGGGGTGTCTGGGGAAGGGGGAAGGGGAGCTGGGCTCCAATATGATCATTATATTCTATACAGCTATGACATTGACAAAGAATTAATAACAGATTTTTTTAAAAACAGGAAAATAAATGAAACACTGAATGTTGACCTCTAGCTTACATAGGCAGACATGGGCATGTGCAATCCCCCCAACATATTCATACGATGAGATTTGAATATTATTCACAGCCATTTACTTCTGTTCCCATCACACCACATCCCAGGGCATCTCCCCTTTAACCGGCCCCCACCCCTGCTTCCCAGACCACCCAACTCCAAGCTTTAGTCCTCCTGTCGTTTTCATTATTCTTGGAGGCCTGATTGTGACATCACTTCCTTTCTGCCTCTGGGACACCCTCTTCCCTTTCCTTCATAGGCAGAATTAACTGCTCCATCCTTCATGTGTTGTTCATGAGGTTCTCATATGATAACCCGCTTCAAACTTGACTACAGAGCAGCTGTATTTGAGACCATATCTCCTTTCAGGTCTGGACTCTGAGAGCAGAGACCACACTGGCTTCATCCTCCCATTTCCCTTTCCCCTCCAAACACAAGCAAACAGTATGGACCCGATCCTTGCTATTTAAAGACCTGCCCTTCATTCAAGCCCAGTTGGTGCTCTGTGCATTAACGAAGGTAACTGCGGAGCTGATCAGGGAGTGGAGCGGTTTGTCACTGTTGTTATCATCACATACTTCCGGCAGTATGATGCTGGTGATGGTGTTTCACCAGGGCACAGCCACTGAGCTACTTCAGTTAAAATGACAATCCATTCACTGCAGGCTAGACAGGAAGGATCCCTGGAGAAGGACCGCTAGAGTCTTTCATTTTACAGACCAGGAAGACTGGGAGGTTGATGGTCTCAGCCAGAGGATGAAGGGAAGAGCAGAACTCTCATCCCAGTCAGGAGCCTTTCATTAAATCAGAGATTTGAAATTCCGAACTGTGATTAAGACTGCTGTTGATTTAAATTAGTCTTTTTCTCAGGTAACTAGGGAGCCGTAGCGACCAGTGAATTTGTTTCTGTTAGCTTTTGCAAGTTGTCTTAGGATACATTGGCTCACTCAAGTTCAAGTGAAAACAGATCCGAGGGGCATGCCTTACCACCTGTTAGCCAAAGATTCTGGCAGCCCACACAGATGAAGCAGGGGCCCCTGAACTTGGGATAGCCAGCTGGGGCACGCAATCCTCACTATCAACTTGACTGGCTTTAAGATAACCATGGAAATACACCTCTGGGTATGTCTGTAAGGGTATTTCCAGGAAGTTTTAGCAGAGGAGGGAAGACATGAGTGTGGGCAGCAGCAGCGCCTGGGCTCCGGTCTGGACTGAATAAAAGGAGACGGGCAGAGAAGCAACACCATTCATCTAGCATTCCTCTCTCTGCCTCCTGAGTGCAGATAAGGTGAGCAGCTGCCTCAGGCTCCTACTCCAGGATGTCCCCCACTTGCTAAACTGTACACACACACACACACACACACACACACACACACACACACACACGAACATATATAAAAATAGAGTGAATGAATGAGTGAGTCAATCAATCATTGAAAACTTTCTGGGCATGGGAAAGTTATACAAACTCCATGATGTTTTATGATATGGGATGAATCTCCAAGGACGATGCATGCAGGTTTGTGCTAATAGCTAAAGTGGCCAAGAGGAAAGAAGAAACATCTTTTAGACAAATACTTGACTATAGCTACTACAGAAAATTTTCCTTTGCAAAGGGCTCAGTTAAAAAAAATGTTAAGGCTTTTTTTTTTAATAAAGAAATTTTTGTTCATTTTACATATACCAATCACAGATCCCCCTCTCTTCCCATTAAGGCTGTTCTTAAGCAGGGCCTTTGGGGGACAATCTTTAGAGGCCTTAACTGAAGTTATAACTTCACACTGGAATCTTCTTACTTGAGGTTGATGATCTCTAAACACACACAAAAGAAAGACCTCTGTTTTGCAGGGGATTCCCTGTATCACTTTCTAATTTGGGTACAATAACACCATTGTGTAGTCACATGAAATACTGTGAGTGTGTTTATATAATTTATGAAATATATAGCCAACAAATTATGATTCTCTGCTTCTTGCTATTTCCAAAAGTTTATTGAAGAGTAGAAACATTCTATTTGACCCTAATATTATCCCATAATAATCTGAAGGGCTTATTTAATATAGCTCTCTCTCTCTCTCTCTCTCTCTCTCTATATATATATATATATATATATATATATATATATATATATACACATACATACATATATATATAATTATATATATACATATATATAATATATATATAATTGTGTGTGTGTGAGAGAGAGGTGTGTGTGTGTGTGTGTGTGTGTGTGTGTGTGTGTGTGTGTGAGTGTGTGTGTGTGATGGTTAATCTCATTTGTCAGCTCGATGAGATCTGCAGTCCCCAGGGAGACAAGTCTCTGGGCATGCCCATGAGGGATTGCTGGTTAGGTTAATTGAGTGGGAAGACAGGTCCACCATGGGCAGTGCTGTTCCCTGGACTTTGGTCTTGGACTTCATAGAAAGAGGAAAGCCAACTAAACAGCAGCATTGTTCTCTGTCCCTTGGACTGCAAACATAACTTGACCAGCTGCGGTAAACTCCTGCTGCCAGGACTCGCCCACCATGATAGACTCCCCATCTGTGAGCCACAATAAAGAAATAAAACTTGCCGGGTGCTGGTGGCACACGCCTTTAATCCCAGCAATCGGGAGGCAGAGCCAGGTGGATCTCTGTGAGTTTGAGGCCAGCCTGGGCCACAGAGTGAGATCCAGGACAGGCACCAAAACTATACAGAAAAACCCTATCTCAAAAAACAAAAAACAAAAACAAAAAAAGAAAGAAAACTTTCTTCCTTACATTGATTTTGACAGAGAATTTTTATCACAGGAACAGAAAATATAACAAGTTAGTGTGTATCCGAACTATTGTTTCTTTGAGAGAAAATTCCAGAATCTCAGTGTTTTAACACTATTCCAGGCACATGGAGAGAGAATTATAGTAGGTTCCAGAAGAAAGGGAGGAAAGGCACTGAGGCTATAAAAGAATGAAGTAGTTCATACAGAGGAAAGATTTCCTGAAGCTAAAAGCCAATTGACATCTCTTTCAAGTCCAGGGTGGCAATCTTTTTAGACATGAGATTTTGTGTATTTCACTGAAACTCTCCAATCACCATTTTTATTTGAACAATACAATATTAAGATATAGTTCCCTCTTATCTCACTGAATTCTGTGACACCCAAGTACACAAACACTATTGTGGTGCTTAATATTCCATAACAAGAAGGCCTTTTAAAAATTAAACCACCACTCAACAGTTTATGAACATCTGCTGAGTGTCAGGGGTCATTCTGAGTGCTCTGCATAAGTCTCCCTCTTCACAGTACTGATTCCAACAGTATAGGTTCCCCACATCTGTGGTTGCACACTTGCAGACTCAAGGATGATGGATTAAAAACATTCGGAAAACAACTGCATCTGTATGGAACAGTAACAGATCTCTTATCATTGTTCCTGGAGCAATGCTGTGCAATAGAATTTGTTTACACAGCATTCACATTGTATTAGAGATAATCCACAGATTGTGTGTGTATGTGTGTGTGTATATGTGTGTGTATGTGTGTGTGAGAGAGAGAGTATATGTGCGTATATGTGTGTGTGTATGTGTGTGTGTATATATATGTGTGTGCATGTGTGTATGTGTGTGTATGTGTGTGCATGTGTATATGTGTGTGTGTATGTGTGTGTGCATGTGTGTATGTGTGTGTGTGTGTGTATGTGTGTGCGCGCGGGCGCGTGTATGTGTGTGTGTATGTGTATATGTGTGTGTGCATGTGTGTGTG